CTGTTCAGTATTAACCAGGTACAGAATTGAGAACCGTTCTTTCTTGTCGCCGAGGTAGAAGAAATGGAACAGAGTAAAATATATAATTGCAATTTATATATATATATATATATATATATGTATAACATAAGTACAGATATGCCTTACGTATTATCCCATCAACTGCAATTGCGTACATTTGTAAGAATAATGACAAGGCGTTATGTTGGTAAACGACTTATAAAATGCACATTGCAACAGTTTAACGTTCTCTTTTTTCAGATCCTTGGCGAGGTGAAGATTGACACCAGGATGTTCAACATTGTCATTGGCTGATTTGTCATTTGTATTCTGTCTTTGTATTGCCGGTATAACCGCCCTTCGGCGTAAGACAGTTTTATTGCATTTGTTTAAAAAGGCTGTAGTATGCAATAGGGTAAAGCTTTCTAGTTCAAGTATTACCTTAAATTTTATAGCAAACCTGTGGATGGGGCGGTTTTGCCATTTCCTTTGACCCGGAGACTGCAGAGATCTATGACCGTGGAACTACAAAGGGGGAGGATTATCTCATGATCAAGAGCAACGTCTCTCTGCCAGAACAGTTTGCGACTGTTGTCTAATTTTAACATAAGTAAGTACAATTAAACACCACATTCCCCAGGCAAACTATTTTGGTTCTAACTGATGTTAAATGGAGTTGATGTGTTATAAATACTTAGCATTAGGAGACCATCTAGAAAATGTATCAATTGTTACATTGCCCTCCTGTACTCGGATGGGAAATGCATATAGATTATTATCACAAACATTCCCTCAAAACCCTACACTGTACAACCCATCAAAAAAATGCCAAGGATTCAACAAAATTTCCACCCAAGAAAGGGTTTTAAAGTTCTTAATCTCATTTTAATCTCTCACCAAGCAACTTGTGCGCAGGCCCTTCGACCAGCGTCACCCCTACTAGCGTGTCCTCGAAACCAGTGTTCAACCAATCATATCGCTCGCTCGGCTATGACGCCATTTCCATTTTTTTCTTCGATCCCCCACAAATACACTTGTATAGTCCAGTTCAGACGTCCGGCCCGGTCATAATCAGTTCACCCGGCCCGGTTTTTGCGTAAGTGACGGCGACACAATAAGGCGGAGATAACTTTGAACACATTTGCGCTTCGGAATCTACCGGATTACTTTGGCGTACCAGCACTGTAAGTACAGATTCGTTAAACACATAGGTATCTTCTTCTTCTTTCATATTACGTGCTTAACCTCAATAGGCTGAGGGCTCCAAGCACGGTACGTAGAAGACGTACACAAGACTGTAATGTTTGATCCACTCACACCGGGAAGATCCCCTACTCTTTTCGATAAGTGTGGCGGGTTCTTTAGCGTGCTCGAGGTGTGGCTCTCCCCAAACACGGGACCTCCATTTAACGTCCTATCCGAGGGACGTCCCTAACCGAAGCTAGGTACTCATTTCCACCTGAGTCAGGTGAGGAAAGTGTAAAGTGCCTTTCCGAACTCGAGACCTCTAGATCCTGAGCCGAACGACCCCACGTCGTATCAGGTCTTGTTGGTTTGAATTTCAGTCAAAACTATCGTATCGTTTTTTTTTCTGGTACAGGCGTTTACCACACCACGAATTGTTCCCTGATTTGAAGGCCGAAAGTGACCCTTACGAAAAGAACTGGCCTCGCCAGTAACACCTACAAAACCTACATACACTCCGAAACAGCTATCTTATGCAATAATTGCCTGTTTTCGAGGAAACAAAAATCTCAGACAGGCAAACGCCGACCGGTAAAGGGTGCATGTAGCGAGTCACAAGTATGCTAATGAGTTGTATGCTAATGTTATGCTAATGACTACTATACCAGTATATATGAGTATAGCAACACTGACACTTGTAACGTTACATACATCTACTAGTACTAAGTGTTTACTGAGTGTCCCAGCCCATTTATGCCCATCAATGCCCATCCATGCCCAGCCCATCCCAGCTAATCCATGCCCATCTCTGTCCATCCCTGCCCATCTCTGTCCATCCCTGCCCATCTCTGCCCATCTCGGTCCATCCCTGCCCATCCCTGCCCATCTCTGTCCATCCCTGCCCATCCATGTCCATCCCTGCCCATCTCTGACCATCCCTGCCCATCTTTGTCCATCCCTGCCTATCTCTGTCCATCCCTGCCCATCTCGGTTCATCCCTGTTCATCCCTGCCGATCCCTGCTCATCCTTGCCCACCCCTGCTAATTCTCGGCCATCCATGCCCATCCCAGCCCATCCCTGCCTATCCGTCCCCATCCCTGTCCATCCATACCCATCTCTGCACATCCGTGCCCATCCGTGCCCATCCATACTAATCCCTGCCCATCTCTGCACATCCGTGCCCATCCCTGCACATCAATGCCCATCCATACTAATCCCTGCCCATCCATACCCATCCCTGCCCATCCGTCCCCATCCCTGCACATCCGTGCCCATCCCAGCCCATCTGTCCCCATCCCTGCTCATCCATGCCCATCCTTGCCCACCCCTTCTAATTCTTGTCCATCCATGCCCATCCCAGTCCATCCCTGTCCATCCATACCCATCCCTGCACATCCATGCCCATCCCTGTCCATCTCGGTCCATCCCTGCCCATCTCGGTCTATCCCTGCCCATCTCTGCCCATCCCTGTCCATCCCTGTCCATCTCGGTCCATCCCTGCCCATCTCTGTCCATCCCTGCCCATCTCTGTCCATCCCTGCCCATCCTGGCCAATACTAGCCCACCCATACCCATCCCTGCACATTCTAGCCCATCCCTGTCCATCCTTGCCCATCTATGACCACCCCTGTCGATCCCTACCCATCCATGCCCACCCCTACTCATCCCTGCCCATTCTAGCCCATCCCTGTCCATCTTTGCCCATCCTGGCCCATACTAGCCCATCCATGCCCACCCATACCCATTCCCTTCCATTCTAGCCCATCCCTGTCCATCCTTGTCCATCCCTGCCCATCCTGGCCAATACTAGCCCACCCACCTGCATGAGAAGACAAGACCGCCCAATTCGTCCTTAGGGACCGGGTTCTTACCAAAGTTAATTAGTAACTTGACATCTGTAAAAGTTTGTGTAAGTTTCCACATGTGTATTGCACCGCGGATTTTCCGAACTTATTGGCACACGCCATGCAATGAAAGACGGCAGGAAAGACGTCCATTTTTCCTTATGTTCCTTCTTATTAGTCCAGCATTGGGTTACCATAGACAGGATTATCGTAGCATGTCTGGTGAACAAAGGCAGCCAGCGGATATAAACTTTTCAATCACACCTTGCTCCCACGACATATTTTCAGACAGCGCCTCTCGGCCGCACTGAGCACGTGGCGCGGCGGCTGCATGAGAAGACAAGACCGCCCAATTCGTCCTTAGGGACCGGGTTCTTACCAAAGTTTATTAGTAACTTGACATCTGTAAAAGTTTGTGTAAGTTTACACCACAATGAAAATTAAAAAAAATAGTTTTGTCTTCTTTTAGGTGATGGCTTCACGACCTGTGCGATTTATTTCTGGAGCCGGGCAATCCGTCGTGTGCCCATATGACCATAGTCACATTGTTCAGAGCAATCGATTGCTCAGACACATT